ATTTGTAAAATGGGTGTGCACACAACATTCGGGTCCTGGAACAACAGTAAAGTCGAGAAGTGGATAAGCAACAAGGATTTTGCAGCTGGTAAATGAAGAAAAAGATATCCATCCACAGCCTACTGTCTCATGTGTTCTCAATCATTTCTGATACGGATGTTGTTATGCCCACCCGCTTTAGTTTATGCTAATTTACAGAAGAAACCAAAAGTTATTTATAACTCAAATACAAGCAAATTATTAATAATAGAAAAAAAAAGGTTTAATGACACTTTTACAAAATAACAACAGCTACACAATCCATATTAAACTATGAAAAAAAAAACCTGGAACAAAGAATGCACAAATAACAGATTCCACGATATACTGCCTGGCAAATTTTGCTGTGTCTTGTATGGCGTGTACTACAGAATTAAATTAAGGTGAAGCCTGTAGGAAGGATTCATTAATCTGCTTGAATTTCTAGGTTAATAAGGTTAAAGTTAACAGGATCGACTTCACTGCACCGATGTGATCCCACATGGCTCAGTCTTGCTCCGCATAACAGCTAGTTATAGGAGTGTGTCGCACAAAGCATAGACAACACAGCACCCGCAACGATCCTCAGCGGTCTCTGTTAATAACTGCATTGGTGAACTTAACTAAAGAGCCATGAAATGAACCCATGACCCCCACAGCATGAGGCAAGCAGCTTGACCCCCCAGGAGCATACTACTAAGGAGTCGTTTGATATGCAGTCTCAAGGTGTCAGGGACTCCTTCAATCCATCTTCCCCTGCCTCTTGATGTTTAGATTTTCAGGTTGCTGCTGGAATCGTTGGTTTAATTCTCATTTGATGATCAAACCATTTTATTCTTTGTTTCTCAATAAATTTGACGATTGGTGTTGTTCCAACAGTTCTTGTGATCACGTCAGTTTTCACTCGATCTCTTCTGGTTTTATTCACAAACATCTCATCTCACAGGTAGTTAGTTTTCTTTCATGTTCTTTTATCAATGTACAAGTCTGACATCGGTAACCTCAAGTCAGTATAATTTTGGTATTTATAATTTGTCTTTTTGTTTCTGTTGGGACAGCACAGTGTTTTAAAATTGGAGCAAGTTAGTATGTAACATTGTAGGCTTGCTGAATTCTTGTTTCTGTCTCACTACTGTATGTAAAGATGCTTCCCAAGTATTTAAATTCTTGCATTTGTTTCAGACCTGGATCTTTGATCTTTATGTTGATGGCTCTCTACTTATTCTCATGACTTCTGTTTTTTCAATATTGATCTTCATGTGATGTTTAAGGCAACTGTTGTGTAGTTGGTTTATGTGGTCCTGAAGCTGTTTGCTTTCACTGTGGAATTTGCACTGATCGTCGGCAAAGAGCATGTTTACTGAAGTCATCCTGTTTATCGGCATCTGGTAGTGTTATGTCTATTTTATTAATACTGTCCATGAATATTTAATAAAAAGTAAAGGTGAAAAAACACACCATTGCCTCCCCCGTGTGGGTTCCGGGGCCCTATTGTGGGGAAAACAAGAATAGACCCACTGCCTCCCCAAAAGCATGTCGTAAGAGTCGACTACCTGGGGAGCTTCCTTTGAAGTCGGAGTGCATCTGCCTGAGAGGCAAGGAACCAACAGTCTACATTCAATTGAATCAGATCTGTAAAACTGATGCACACGCAAAACTCAGGTTCTGGAGCAGGACTGCAGTCCAGAAGTGGACGAACAACCAGAACTTTACGCCAGAGTGTACAGCTGGTGAACGCGAAGAAGAAGAACACACCCTTGCCTTACTCCTGATGTTACTCGAAACCTGCTCTTGTTCTGGTGGAGCTTTCACTTTCTCTAGAAATATTTCTGACAGTCTGGCACTGTTCTACCTATACTATAGTTTTCAAGGACATCCCATAGTAAATGGGGGCCAGGGGCATACTACTAAGGTGAAGACTGTTGGGAGGATTCATTTAATTGTTTGACCTTCTTTAACTGTGTAATATGCGCCTGTCAAGATAAGCACAAAATACCAGACAATACAGTATGTAATCTGCTGTGAGTGTTAAAATGGAAAAATTTATTATGAAGATTATTGTTCACTAAATATTATAAAGATGAAAGCTTGTCCCCCAGAATAATACTTATTATATTAAAATTATATAATTAAATAATGTATATAAATATAAATTGGTCCCATTTCGACCTGTTTACACCATGCTATTTATAACTGCAGTGATCAACCAATGGCTGATATGAATTGTAATTTCCTCATGTGGGTTCCTGGACCCTATTATAGGAGAGGAAAAAAAAGACCCACCGTCTACCAAAAAAGCATGTTGTAAGAGTCAACTAGTTGATAGCTTCCTTTGAAGTCAGTGTGCATCTGCCTGAGAGGCAAGGAACCAGCAGTCTGCATACAAATGAGTCAGATCTGTAAAATGGATGCAAATGCAACACTTAGATTCAGGAACAGGACTGCAGTCCAGAACTTTTGCCAGAGTTTACAGCTTTTGAACGCGAAGAAGAAGGAGAATTGTTATTATTTGACATGCAAAACTTTTATTTGTAATTTTTAAAATGGTCTATGATATACTTGTTTGGAATTCATCCTTAAAATAGTGGTTGGTACGTATTGTGGTTTACAGTTAGACTGCAATATCTAAACTTTTCCGCCCAATACATCAAATTCTAGCACATCCCTAATCATTTTTAAGACAAGCTTTTCCGGGGGCAGCTGGTATCCCACCTTCCCCGGCATAGGGGGGGGGGGGGGGGGGGGGGGGGCAAAACCTACACCTGTGGTATGATCTGTATAATATACTTTACATTCTGAATGAATACAGTACATATGTTGACATTACTTTCTTAATACATCATGGATCAAATATAACACAGCCCCCATAGCAGACACAACCGCTGGGATGTGAAGTGGGTTCAGTCTTCCCATCTAGTAGTCTTCCACACTTAAAAATTGAATTCACTATTACAAAGTTTGACTGACAGTAGGCTGCACTCATTATCATATAGAACATGGCCATTCAACTACATTTATTCAGTGGCTAACATTTTGACAATGGGGATGGTCATGGGCCAGAGCTCCAGCAAAGAAAAATTATGAATACAAAACAACTTGGTGATGCAGAAGGTCCTTTGCAGAACGTTGCTCTCATCAGTCCACCTGAAAGAAGCTCTCCCACTTTGACACTGCCAAGGTAAATGCTATGTGATGCTAATGCATTATCTTGCCTGTTACTTTATCATAAATTAAAAACTGTGCTATCTCCACAATGCTGAATTAACATCATAGCACTTAGGATACTCTCATGAATGATCTGTCCCCATCTTCAGTGAAGAGTCCCGATGATATCAGTAACTGTCTGTATATCCATCTTGCTTTTTCCTTGTATTCTGGGGGTGAGCCAGATGCCCTGATAACTCCTCGCAGCACCATTCTCTTCAGCACAATGCATTCACAGCTAAATATGGGAATGTTACAAGGTCAGTTCCTCATTCTTTGTCACTTTTAATGCCTACTATATCCACTCTACATTCTCTTTCACAAACAGCCAGCTACACATTTAGCAATGACAATAATAAGAAACAAAAGACAAATGTGTAATTAAGGCAAGCGTGGAAACAGTATGAAAACTGTAGCCAACCTCCACTTTGGAAATAGATATATACAGATATATGTCTTGAATCATATTTAGGAATATAGTGAAGGATCTTTTTGACGTGGGCGCCAAGATAATTTTGGAACATAAAAAATTATTCCAGCTTCACCCGGACTTGAACCCACAACCTTCTGATCTGCAGGCGAGTGTCTAGATGCAAACGGCCCCCCCCCCCCCCCCAGGAATATGGTGCTAGCCTAAAGTGTTATTGACGAAAGTGGCACTTAGTTGCGATGTGGTTATATAATGACTACCTTTTCCTTTGAATTCCTAGACCATGCATTTTTTTCTAGTGGCACACAGCACTTTTTTTTTCTTCATCATGTTTGTCAGCGCTACTATAACCGGCACTTCACGGTGAATACTGGCACCTTTCAAAAAAGTACTGTCCTAGACCATCTAACAGTGTCCGCATAAACTGGGTCAATCAGGAAAAACCGGTAAATTGTTGAGAAAAATTCCTGCGTCGGTAGGAATTCTTCTTGCGCATATGCTCTTGGAAAAATGGTTGGCATGGCGAGTTGTGGTTTATGGGCAGGTTGCAATATCTGTATTTTACAGCAGTTGAGAAGTGAATGGATGAGCTGAATTCAAGTAGAGGATTCATCCAACATGTCACGAGAATGGTTTGTATGAGCTGGTGCACCGAAGAAATATCTGTGTACGTCTTGAAAGTAAATGTGTCATTAACAGTATATCACTACAAGGACACCCCCCCAACCTACTCTTGCCAGCAGCTAACCCACCATACCCGATAACCAGTCAGGTAAAACTCAACAGAAGCAACATTTTCAGCACAATTCATATAAAATATATTCAGCGAAATAATCTCAAAAAATAAACACACACAACCTCTGACACCTGCAGAGACTGAGATCTACTGGCTTGCCATTAATAAAAAAGGATGTCAAACAAGCAAAACATTTTCAGACAAGAAAAATACATTCCCAGCACACATTACTCTACAATAACGAAAAAATCTGCAATCAAAATAGCGTTACATGAAAAACCTTGAGGCCATAGAAATGTTATATATGTAATAAACGAACATCAATGTATTATTGGGCCCTCATATAAAGAAGAAGTAAGACACACTAGACAACATAAAAATTGAAAGCTGCATCACAACATATAACTACAGCGTTTGATTTTTATGTTGTCTAGTGTGTCCTTATATCTCTCTATGAGTGCTGATTATTATACTGTCTGTTTGTTATTATTTATATATAGTAAAACATGAGTAAACAAGCTTTAAAAAAACAAGAATTTGTTTCATGAAAATGATTATATCACATAAATATTGTCCACATAAATCTTGACCGCTCCTAATGTAACCAGCTATTCAGTCTTTCTTCTGACCATCTGTTTTATTTGATGGCGTGATTGGTTTTGGTTTTGAAATTGAAAACGCTTGGATCCTGAAGTGCTCACACATTTCCTTGACCTGTGGTAAAAATACAGCACACATCTGTAGGTTGCAACAAAAATATTTCCCTGATTGACTAAGTAAAGGACCCTCTTCCACACCTTTAGGGGTAGAGGGCATATAGGGCTAGACCTATATTTTATGGACCAATCGGCACAAGATGGGTGATATGGTCAGCATCACGCCGACCACTTTTACTTCCTGGAACTGCACCCGGTACCCACTTAAGGCTGGGTCAATCTGGCAGCCAAGGTAATTTTTGAAAAAAGTCAGGATCTGCCAGGGAGCAAATCCACGACCTTCTTATCCGCAGGCGAGCGTCTAGCCGCTCTGCCACGGCAGCTCCCATTAGGCATTTAGTACTAGACCTATATTTTATAGACCCACCAATCAGCTCCTTTTTTCTCCTTCTTAGTGTTCACCACCTGTAAGCTACAACATAAATATTCTGGCTGTTCATCCCTTTCTGGACTTTGGTCTAGAAGTTGATTTTGCCTGCACATCTGTTTTACAGATCTGACTTATTTGTATGCAGACTGCTGATTTCTCATCTTCCAGGCAGATCCACTCTGGCAGCGAAAGATACATGCCTAATTAGTAACTTTGAGGGGTCAAACAAAAGTTAGTCTCCCCACAGAAAGTAGGTCACGTAACTTTCTTGGACCGGTCTAACCTGCTTTGCTTTCTAGGATGTCTTGCATTTACCTTTTTATTCCCAGAAAGAGAATGCCTGTGACATAGGTTTCATCACTCTCTAAAGGGGTTGTATGTTAGACCCAATTTGTCACTGTTTTTGTAGCGTTAAAGGCGCTGGAATATAAAAGATGCAATATCAACGGCACTGGGGAACACCTCCGTCACCTTGTGCTAAGGTCAGGTGGTCGACCAATCAGAAGTGAGCTAGACTGAAGGTCGACCAATCGGAAGTGAGCTAGTGTGTATATGGGCGGTCCGTGGGAATACTTATGTTTCTATTACACTTTTAGGATATGCTTGTTTGGGGACAGTGGGTCTATTTTTTCCTCTGGAAAAATGGGGTCTAGAAGCGACATGCGCACATCAGCACTCTGGTGTGCAAAATATCACACCCACCCATAAATTACTAAAAGAATGTAAACAGAAAAAAACAAAGAAATCAACAGCTCTGCTGTCTCCACGGTGAAGAATGGGTGCAGTGAATAATGTGCATATTTTTGTGCTGGAACACAGGGCAAGGCCCAAATCCCTTCCATGGTGTGATTCTCATGACACTACAAAAAAAATCATAAAACCACCTGTTCGAAAATCAATCTCTGGTATGTCAATGATTTGAAACACTAAATTTTAACCCACAGAGCTGAACAACTACAATAAAATACTAGAAAGGAAAGTCAATAAAAAAAAAAAAAACAATAGCCTATACAAATCTAGTGATCCCCATATGGAGTCAATAATAGGTTAAATTATCTGTGCAAGTTGTTGGTACAACATCAAAAGTCAACTAAGTGTTCAATCCTTGTTTTGAGAAAATTGCCTCTGAAAAACTGAGATCTCAAAAACTGTGCAGCAGGTGGAAAAGTAATATTTCAGTTTGACTGATTTTGTAGTTAGAATTATTATTTGTGAATCTAACATCATGTAAAATGATAAATAAAAACTCTAAAGATGCAAATGAGGTGAAAATGGCCAAAACTGCACCTATACATACATACATATATATATATATATATATATATATATATATATATATATATATATATATATATATATAAATATATATATATAGAGAGAGAGTGAGAGAGAGAGAGAGAGACATATTTACATACCACCATACTGCATCAAGTATTAATAAAAATAATAAAACAATTAAAATGATAACTCATACAAAAACCAAAGACACTAAGGCGTAAAACCTTAACAAATATCTACGCGGTAGCGATACAAATACACTAAATCTAACAGAGAAGTTAAAATATGGTGAATAAAAACAACACAAGAAAAATACTTACCACACTCACACCAAAAATAATGTGTTTGACGGTGATATAAATACAGTAGGCCCACAGTAAGGCGATTTCCCATGTGCCAAGAGTCAGAAAGCGAACAATGGTTACAATAGTGATCAGCGGGAGCAATGAATTGTTGATCAGTTCACACCTGGTTCCACTCATCTGGGCAATAATCAAATGGCACTGGTAGAAAGAAAAAATAGTTTTTATTTAAAAGCTTTCGTTGTTAGTTGTACACGTAGACATGCAATATTTAAGGCATCCCCCCCCCCCCTTCCCCCCCAACCCCGGTTTTAGGATTGCCAGATGTATATGGTTTTGTTTTTATACATCTTGCGCAAATGTATCATCACAGTCTTGAGAGATTGACGCAGCGGGGAGTGGCGAGGGGTTCTGGCCGCTGATGCTCGATGTTCAGAGGAAAGGCAAGACAGAGGTTTAATCAGAATGCTGGTGGCACCTTTAGTATTGGAGCTCTGCGCTGGCTGCTGAAGACAGGGGCGGAGCGCTTATGGAAATCCCCAGATGCTGTGATGTCGGTTCTTGAATCAACTCATAATTTATCTTGTATGAATTTAACAGAAAATGACTATCTGTATGGTCCCTCAAAAAAAAAAAAAAAAAAAGGTAATTAAACACTAACTGAAAGACAAATTAAATTTTAATGTTCACCAACAAAATACAAAAATTCTACGTGTAGTTCAGACATGCGATATCAAATTTATGAAAAAATAGCATTTTCACTGTCTCTGCAATCAACAACACATGATGTTTACATTTTACACCAGATCTTTTCTTTGCCGAATCTACAATGAAGCTATACAGCAGCAAATAAACTGTAAATCCATGCTGGAAATCTGAAGAAATCGGATTATCATTGGCCAGATTTTTTATTGTCAACCTGTACCTTCTTTACAGAATGACACAAAGCTAAAAATATCTTCTTACTCTTCACTGTCTGCACTTAAAAGCTGTTGACATTTTGTGCTCTTGTTTAAAGACGGGCTGTGATATCTGTGCCTTTGACCAAAAACACCTGCTGCCAGCAAACCCTAAATCAGTCGCGGACAATGACATTTTTTGTTAGCAGACAAGGATTTTATCCTCTTCCCTCCAATGCAGAGACTCAGAAGCCACACAGGGTAACATATAACTTTAGGTTTGGTAGTCTGGTATACCTCACTCAACGATCAACCTCATACTTTTATCAAAATTAATGCAAAGCCGTCTGCTGCAAAATCATCTGCAGCTGCTATGTGTGAGAGTACAACCCTATAAACTGCCCAGCTACACAATAAACTCACTGCCATATGTGAAAGTACACCCAATAACTTCCTGGTTAAAAAATAAACTCACTGCTATATGTGAGAGTAGAATCAGTAAACTGCCCAGCTACACAATAAACTCACTGGTATATGTGAGAGTAGAATCAGTAACTACCCAGCTACACAATAAACTCACTGCTATATGCAAGAATATAACTAATAAACTGCCCAGTTTGAAATAAATTTACTGCTATTACGATGGCAGTACATCAAAGCACTAAAAAACTGTTTCAATAAAACTGTTGTTTCTTTTTCTTCTCTGTTTCCCGGCTGTGAGCTTCGGCAGAAAGCTAATCCATTCGGACTGTGGCTTTGTGCCAGGACATGAGTTGTGTGTATACATCCGTTTCACTAGGTTATTTGTGTGCAGCTGGTTGTTTCTTTACTGCTCTGGCAGATGCACTCTGACTTCGAAGGATGCTCCCAATTAGTCAACTCTTATGACATGCTTGTATGGGTAGGTAGTGGGTCTATTCTAGTTTTCCCCCACAACCGGGCTTGGAACTTACACAGGGAAAATTGTTTCTGAACAGTTTATATTTTTTTAAATGCACCTGCAAGACAAGTCGCATTTCATTTTGACCTATACAGAGTAGGAATTCATATTTGTGCCTTTGGCATAGTGTAAAGAAACAAATAACAGTCCTGAAGATGCTTTTAGGTGAAACTGCCAAAATTACACTTAGGCGATTTTGGCATAGCAACACAGATATATAACTGCAACCAATGAGAAGAAGACAAGTGGCGTACAACGTGACAGTGAGAAATCTGGAGGAGAAGAGAGGGAAAGGGAACAGAGAGAGAAGAGGCTAGACAGTCTGACATCATGGCATGGAGAATCATCTGTGTCAGAGTTGACTTAAAACTATACGAGACAGAAGATTGTAGATAAACATGGCTACCATCGCCACATGGTATAGACTTTAAGAAGAAGCAGCCAATAACTCACTACTATATGTGATAATACAACCAATAACTCACTGCTGTAGGTGATAATACAACCAATAACTCACTGCTGTAGGTGATAATACAACCAATAACTCACTACTATATGTGACTATACAACCAATAAACTCACTACTATATGTGATAATACAACCAATAAACTCACTACTATATGTGACAATACAACCAATAAACTCACTACTATATGTGACAATACAACCAATAAACTCACTACTATATGTGATAATACAACCAATAAACTCACTACTATATGTGATAATACAACCAATAAACTCACTACTATATGTGATAATACAACCAATAACTCACTGCTGTAGGTGATAATACAACCAATAAACTCACTGCTATATGTGACTATACAACCAAAAAACTCACTACTATATGTGACTATACAACCAATAAACTCACTACTATATGTGATAATACAACCAATAAACTCACTACTATATGTGACTATACAACCAATAAACTCACTACTATATGTGACTATACAACCAATAAACTCACTACTATATGTGACTATACAACCAATAAACTCACTACTATATGTGACTATACAACCAATAACTCACTACTATATGTGACAATACAACCAATAACTCACTGCTATATGTGATAATACAACCAATAAACTCACGACTATATGTGACAATACAACCAATAAACTCACTACTATATGTGATAATACAATCAATAAACTCACGACTATATGTGATAATACAACCAATAAACTCACTACTATATGTGATAATACAACCAATAAACTCACTACTATATGTGACTATACAACCAATACACTCACGACTATATAAATTCAACCAATACTACGACTATATGTGATAATACAACAATAAACTCACGACTATATGTGATAATACAACCAATAAACTCACTGCTACTACTGCTATATGTAATACAACCAATAAACTCACTACTATATGTGACTATATGTGACTAAACCAATAAACCTATATGTGAAATACAACCAATCTCACTACTATATGTGATAATACAACTATATGTGACTATACAACCAATAAACTCACTACTATATGTGACAATACAACCAATAAACTCACGACTATATGTGACAATACAACCAAAAAACTCACTGCTATATGTGATAATACAACCAATAAACTCACTGCTATATGTGATAATACAACCAATAACTCACTGCTATATGTGATAATACAACCAATAAACTCACTACTATATGTGATAATACAACCAATAAACTCACTACTATATGTGACTATACAACCAATAAACTCACTACTATATGTGACAATACAACCAATAAACTCACGACTATATGTGACTATTCAACCAATAAACTCACGACTATATGTGATAATACAACCAATAAACTCAATATAAACAACCAATAACTCACTGCTATATGTGATAATACAACCAATAAACTCACTACTATATGTGATAATACAACCATAAAAACTCAAATATGTGACTCACCAATAAACTCACTACTATATGTGACAATACAACCAATAAACTCACGACTATATGTGACTATTCAACCAATAAACTCACGACTATATGTGATAATACAACCAATAAACTCACTGCTATATGTGATAATACAACCAATAACTCACTGCTATATGTGATAATACAACCAATAACTCACTGCTATATGTGATAATACAACCAATAAACTCACTACTATATGTGACTATACAACCAATAAACTCACTACTATATGTGATAATACAACCAATAAACTCACTGCTATATGTGACAATACAACCAATAAACTCATTACTATATGTGATAATACAACCAATAAACTCACTGCTATATGTGATAATACAACCAATAACTCACTGCTATATGTGATAATACAACCAATAAACTCACTACTATATGTGACAATACAACCAATAAACTCATTACTATATGTGATAATACAACCAATAAACTCACTACTATATGTGACTATACAACCAATAAACTCACTACTATATGTGATAATACAACCAATAAACTCACTGCTATATGTGATAATACAACCAATAAACTCACTACTATATGTGATAATACAACCAATAAACTCACTACTATATGTGATAATACAACCAATAAACTGCCCAGCCACACAATAAACTGACTGCTATATGTGAGGGTACAATCAATTAACTGCCCAGCCACACATTAAACTCACTGCTATATGTGAGAGTACAATCAATTAACTTCCCAGCCACACATTAAACTCACTGCTATATGTGAGAATGCAGTCCCTGTTGTCCAGTAGAAAAGCCTGGGCTGCAGCTCAATGATATCACACGACGACACTACTGCCCAGTAAATCATGAGCCCAAACAACACAAATGTTGAGACAAGAGGACGCATTGCTTCAGAGAAGGAATGCATCTTCCCTGATTTATCTTTATAAGATCTGAAAAAAAAAAAAAAAAAAAAAAAAAACAACAGTTCTATATTTTTAAAGCGTATATTTAAAGTGGAATGGTAAAAGAATTATTTGCATGGACTCTGCTCAAAGATGACACAGGGATTCATGACACTAATACTGGTTATATTCGGCGTTGAAATGAGTTTCAAAATCTGATATAACAGCACACAGGACACTCAAAAAGCCCTCCTTCCCTACCTTCAGCAGCCAGCGGAGAGTCCTAACTTCCATAGTACCATTTGCAGTCTGATTTTATGTCAATCTCGTCTTTCCTGGAAATGGCTTGGTCACATTATGAGAATGAATCCCGATATACCTGCTAAAAAAGCTCTCACTTGGACACCAGAGGAAAGAGACAGAAGGGGAGCCTAAAAAAACAACATGGAGATGAACGATGGAAAGTGAACTAAGTGCTGCATCACTGACATGGAAAACTGTACCCAAGATTACACAGGACAGGAAAGCTTAGAAAGTCCTCTCTGAAGCCTCATGTGACACTAGGCATACAGAGAGCTGACGGTGACTGCCTTTCCTCTGAGTGTGGAGTGCTGGCCAGATCACATGATCACTGCGCTGCACAATTATCTTCAGACTATAAAAATCTACCCTATGGTGCTCGGTGTCATTAAGAATAGGACCACTGCATACTATCAGCATGTCGTAAGAGGCGACTAAGAGTTTGGACGTGGGGCCAGTAACCACACACTGTAAAAAGACAAAAGATAACCGCTACAGAAACAGACACAAACATAAATATAAATAATACTCATGGAGATCCAGATGTCATAGACAGCGAGGATGGCTCAGGATCGAACTGAGAGGTGACAGTTTGTCTCTGCCTTATGTGCCCCCGGGCAAGAAGATTGCTTGATTAATAATAATCTAACTGTGCTTCCATACTGTTCACTCACTCACAAGGGACTTGCCAAGCATCCGTTTATCACCGGGTGGTGCAGAACCAACCAGTCTGCTCGTTTCCCAAAGCACCTGAATATCCTGGAGAAAAATATCTAAAGGGTGTTGCATAAAGTTTGTTCGTTCGTTGCTAAACACCCTGGACCTCCGATGCGATTGGTGTCATTCTTCATGGAGCATATCTGTCTCCACTTTTCTCAGCATGCTTTGGGCTAGTTGCTATGAATTATGCAGAGAAGATGTTTAGTGTTACCCAGACAGTAAAAACTTCTACGATGTCACTGAGGATTTGAACCCAGGTCTCCTGATTGAAAGCCTGCATTATAACTTTTCATAACAAGGGGGAAAAAGACCCCCAAAAATAGTGGAAGGAAGAGGATATAACATAATTTGTATGTATAATAATTACAATGTGGAGCCAATGAGGAGACAAATGGAGAACATCGTGACTTGGAAAGTTGGAGAAGAAGAGAGGGAGAGGGAAACAGAAGATGATGGACAGTCTTCAATAATTTTTAAAAGTTAATTGCATAGCCTTTACAGATCACAAACCAAAACCCACCATTTGTTGGCTGTTTATGGTATTACAATGACATGTTAAGTAGTTTGCCCACAGATTTTGTCATTAAGGAAGAAAATAGGGGCTTTTAAACTGAAATGCCATAGAAAGATTCTCAGGATATTGTGGACCAAGAAGATCTAAACATCACGGAAGATTGGGTAGTGAACAGTATTTCGTCTGGGAAACATATTGTGGCCATATTCAGTGATAAAGCATACTGGAAAGAATAATAACAGAATGCATGGTGAATGGGTAAAGGGCAGGGGCTGAACAGCACGAAGATGGGCATAGGATAAAAGAAACACTTTGTTGCAGAAAGGTACACAAGGCCGGAGATCTGGCGGGACATGCTACACGATGAGTCTGCCTTTGCATAACATAAGAATAAAGAATAAAATGAGGCCTCCACTGGTGGCAGTCAGAGCATACTCTAGCCACTCAGATATTCACAGGTGAGAACAGGGTCCCCGCGAAAAGTGTTGCCAAGAAATCTTCTGTATAGCAGAGGCTATAATCTAGAACAAAAGCAAACCGTATCTTCTGTAGTTATTAGTACAAATTACATGGTTAGCAGTGTACTCTTTTGTGGTTATCAATGCACTGTTTATGGTTATCAATGCATTTTTTGTAGTTATCAATGGTTATCACTGCAGATGCTGCAAACCTCATAGATTGGCACTTGATGATTGTTCTATGAGTGATAATTAGTAAACAATGATCATATTTTTTTAGAAATGGTCAAATGCAGCAGTACAGACTGCAAAAAATTGCAGGAGTATTTAATTGGGAATATGTAAAATAAAAAAATAAAAATGCAGAAAACCCCAGAGGAAGGTAAGATTAACCCTACCAGACAGCTGGCACGCTATTACGGGAATTTCCTAATCTGTCCTTAAACTGCTTCCCTCAATGTCGGTAATTTGCGTGCTATGAGAAAACAATTGCGTCATTAACTAAAAATAACTAGCCAATCGTAATCAGACCTCGTGGTTAGTCATTGCGAATTGCTGCCAGCGTGTGTCTGGATTTTGTTTGTGTGGTTTGATGGGAAAAAATTCTGAAAATTCTCAATAAAACGAGCGGCTGAGGAACCAAGCACTCCGACAGAAAAGTGAAGTAGGTCTAGGCTTTTCACAGTTCAACAGGTGATCGATACTTTGGTTGATTTAGACTCTCTCGAGAAGTCAGAATTTAGTGAAGAATACGTTCCTAGTTGAAGTGATACAGTCAGAGTGATAAGGAGAGTCTTTAAAATTATAGATTTAAAACTAGATCGATAGTAAGAGAAGGGGGCGTGTCCCCCAAACAGCAACATCTGGTGCCCCCTTTGTGAAATAATGCCAATATTTCTGGGTAGAATTGCACACAAAGGTGGAATATTGGCGCTAGATGAAAGGTAAACCTATTTTTTTTACAAAGTCTCCAAGTTTCAACTTATTATAACCACATGTTTGCATGTAACTAATATTTTTGTTTATCATGCTGGTTTTTTCGTGCTGATACCCAGGAGCTCATGTATAGGGGGCAGTTAGGTTCAGGGCCTCAGGTCTGGCAGGGTTAAACACTGGACAGACAACAAATAAATAGTGGGCATTATATGAAATACACATCTAGAGAAAGACACGACCACCAAAGAACCACAAAACATGAAATTTAATTCTTTTTAAAAATAATTTTTGCTGGCAATATATTCCTAAATTGATTGTCGTCTTCTCATAAATACACTGTTCACAGCATAGCTGAGATATTTGCACCTATCAACCGACACACCTGACGTCTCCATGCATTTATTGCATGACAAGGCTTGCCTTACCCGCTAAACTGATTGTATAATAAAGGATTTTTTTTTTTAATGACACAGAACACTTACCTATATATATTGTAGAATGTGAATGGAAAAGTTAGACCAACAAAACCAGCTGAAAATTAAAGAAACAAAATAAGCTATTTAAAAGCTGTCATTCATTCTCAAGACAATTTGATATCAAGTAAATAACAATAAGAAACACACGGAAACCAAACACACATAGGATTTGAGGTCTGAACAATGGCTGTACATCATGGCAACAGTGTAGTGACCCATAAGTGCTCTGTTGTTCTTCTAACTCAAGTCTGAGTCCGAAGAAGCTCAGCACAGTTCACAAGCTCTGTAGCACCGTCGAGGATCCTGAAATACTATAGGTAGATTTTTATGCAGATTTTTAACTCAAAATTTTATCCAGGCACTGCTGTTAGGCTACTCTTTTCGATTTCCAACTGCCAAGGGATTTTTTACATGTGCAACAATGCACACGGGCGTCCGATCTCACCACCCAGAGATTAGGAGGAATTACTAGAAGTCCAAGTGAAAAAATCCCAGCCCTTACTGGGGACTGAACCCGGAACCTCCAGCACTCGAGGCAGACAACATGCCTCGAGACCATGCAGCACTCTCAAACACACACAAAAGACATAGAAAGAAGAGCATTACAGACAAATAATATGAGAAGGCTGCAAGAGGCAGCATCTTTGCGTAAGAGCACTATAAATGAGCATGAACCACTGAAGGATAACATTCAGAAGGAGGAGGAGAAGGGGTCAGATGAGAAGGAGGAAGTAGAAATCAAAACATGAAAATAAAACAATGCACAAGATAAATCTACTCTGGCTTTCTAAAAGCAGGTAAGCACTGTATGCTACAACCAGGTTTTGTTTGGGGGGGGGGGGGGGGGGGGGGGGGTGGTACTTAAAGGTATACAGTACAAGTACCTTTTTGTAGGTATATTTTTCAGCGCCACTGTAATAGACAATTTATGTTGAGTACTAATACCTTTCTTAAAAAAATGACCTTGGCTCCCAGGTCGACCCAGCCTTGAGTAGGTACCGGGTGCAGTCCCGGGAAGTAGGGGCGGCCGGCATGGTGCTGACCACATCACCCATCTTGTGCCGTTGGTCTACAAAAATATAGGTCTAGCCCTATATGCCTAAAGGCGTGGAAAGGGTCCTTTTTTTTTTTTTTTTACTCACTAATACCTTTTCAAAAGACACCATGTATACGATACAGCATATTTTGGTCTCTAAAAACAAAAAAGTCCTGGCTTTAACCTATAATTATCTGGTAATGTTCTGAATAAAAAATGAAGCAAGAAAAGAACAAACTGCTATATTAGTTATGTCATAACACATATTCTTAATTCATTACACCTCAGAAGAACAAAAGACTTAAGTTAAACAGTGATCAACTCACCATACAATAAAATTTCAAATGTTTCTGCAGCAGACCAGTAGAGAATGGGTATTCTGAACTTCCAAATGTCATGGCCACCGTAATATGTGATCAAGAAAATAAACGTCATGATCTAAAGAATAAATCACAAATCACATTAAAACAAGTGTGTATGTACAGTTCAAACATATTCAAGGAGATACATGGATAAATCAGGCTATATAGTTTGTGCACAAATAGATAAACCAACTTACAGCTTATGCGCAACATAAAAGATCACAATACACCACAGGTTTACAAAAACAGAATAAAACGGAGAACTATATACTATATCTGTGACGTATAAAATGTGTAAATGACCAGGTTAGGACTGCGCCACATTGGAAAAAGAAATGAGAGTTAGTAGACTTGATACAGCGAGCGTATAGTCCCTAAAACATGATGCTAAAAACATGAAACACAATGTCCCATGACACATGCACAAAAAACTGGGTAATACATGTCATTAAAAATATGCAACCAAATAATCATCAGTATTTTCTTCCTTTCTTAGTCGAGTTGAGTCGAGAATTGACATCACAGCACTTGAGGCATTCCCATGTGTACTCCGTTCACATCTTCAGCAGCCAGCGCAGAGTTTCAGTACTGATGGTAGCAGTTACAATCTGGTGATATGCTCGTATTGCCTTTCCTCTGAGTGTAGTGAACTGGCCAGACCCTCTAGTTACACCTAGGTGCTTCATTCGCTCCAGGCCATAGTAATCTTGTTTCTCTACTGGTTCTGTTACTTGTTCAAAAAGGGCTTTCATCACATCTGTCTTGTCATGTATCAATTCACCACCCAGTGGTGCAGATCCAGCAAATCTGTCTGCCTGGTCAATACCTACTACGCCAAATGGCCTGGAGAAAAGATCCAAAGTATGCTCACTGCTTGTGACCTTCAGAGTGAAGCATGAAGCCACTCCGCTCGAAGCATCCCTGTCTTAACCTTTCTCAGCATGCTTTCAGAGTTTGTTATAATTATGATTTGTGTATGTATCTAGGGCTATCCTCCGAATAACACATTATGGCGGCCAAAAACACACCTCAGTCACATGCAAATTGCAGACTTCTTTCCGGCGAATATACCGAGCCAAAACGCAACAAACCGCCACCGAGAGTTTTCCCCCGCGTCGCTACGCGCAGAGTGGGGCTAGATCTGATGGGTGGGGCTCACGAGCAGAAGCTACAGCATCGGGCAGCTTCCTCATTTTATTTGCTCGTGAGTCCCAGCCATCTAGTTTAGCCGCCCTCCGTGTAGCGGCAGGTGGAGTACTCTCGGCGGTAAAAACTGCATTACCAATGCGGCACCGATCATATTTAGCCGAGTTTCAATGGCGCTGCAGTCACAAAGAGCAGATTTTCGGGCACTATTTGCAACTTCTGTGCCACTATTTTCAGATATAAAGGTCCCAATTATCGCTAACTAGTCGATTACGTCATTTTAACTTCCTTCGTTCCTCATTATTTTCGAGTTCAAGTTTTTGAATGTTCACAACACACAACCTAATGAGGCTGCCAGAGTGTGCTTTTGGCCGCCATAATATGTGGCCGTTATTCGAAGGATAGCCACATCTTGTTTTCTAACCACAGGAGAGTTGCAGTTTCTGCCTTCACCTCTATTTTCACGCTAGAAAGGCATCCACTGCCTGGCAATCTCAAAGATGTAAGAGGAGACCGTCTGAAAAGAGAAAAGTAATGGATGGCACTAGCTGAAGATATCGAGACGACAGCCTCAGTTGAGCAGATGCACAGGGGGCAGGAAGGGGTTGACATCAACACCACAACAACAACAGCAGTGTCAACCAGGTCATTATCATGTTAGGAAGAGAATGTAGAGAGTGGTGCAATGGTATGGCAGAATTAGAGGTACAACAACTGACAGATGACAAGGCTGGGGTAGAGGACGCAGTGGTGTACACTCAGGGTTCTGTTCATCGGGGATTTTCAGCTAGAATGAAGGGAAAGATTGTTTCTCAGTCGGCTGTGCAGAAGGTACAAAAGGGACTAATGTGACATGAGTGGAGACCAAGCATCAGTGCGCCAACATTGCAGGGAATCACGTGGTTATACTATAAAGGACTGCGAGGAATGAAAGAGCGAATTTTCTGGCTAGAAAAGCGAAAGCTACGGGAACACTCGTACTGGACATGGGAGATATTCTGAATACCATTTATGAAAGAATGTTGACAGAGGACACGAGATTAGATGAAATAACATGGGCAAGGATGCGGGAACAAGGAATTAAGCGTGGATCCAGCAAGCAGCGGCGGATGAGAGCGACATGTGTATAATCAGTGTTCTACAGGAACACCTGGCACCTTAAGACACCTGCTGTGGGAGATAGAGCTTCTATGGGTATGCCCGGTGTGCTACAATGTCGATTCTTAAATCAGTAATCAGGTCCTGGCACAAAGCAAAGTCTAAATGGACGAGGAACTAGGCTGTTCGACTGGAATTCACACTTAGGTGAACGCAAACAAAAACACCGAATAAACCCACAATGTAGGAGAACTTACTATTTGTCCAATGTCATATCCCCATGGCAAAAACAAGACACCAGTGTTGTACTTCTCCCAGTGGCTAAGGACAAAACACATCATGATGCCAACTACACAAAGAAACACACGGAACACATTGACACCGTGCTCCCCTCGACCAAATATACAGAAGACGGCTACAGGCAGGAACAGGGTGGCCCAGCTATCTAGGCCGTGATCAAAGAGTTCCCCAAGTGGTGATGATGTTTTTGTTCTGCGGGCCTGCTTGCCATCTATGCCATCTGAAACACAAGACGAGACATTTTCTGTTCACCTGAAATATGTTGACAAGCCAGTCCCCTGGCACAAACTAAAGATATGATTAAAGGCGAGAACATCAAGTTTAGTTAGTTAGTTAGTTAGTCTTTCCTCTTGTGTCGAGTGCGGCACATAGGGCAGAGGTCATGACTCTCCATGCACGGCGGTCCGTTGCATCAAGTTTACTGTACTCAGTTTTTCTCCCATCTGGCTTGGTTACTCACGATAGAGTGGCTGACCACCTGCAGATAGCATCAGATAAAACAAGAGAAATGTTAGCTGCATTTCCCTTACAGGACAGGGAAGAACCAACCCCAGCATTTGTTGGCCGTGTTTGGTTTTTACTAGGCAGTTCTGTTTAGTAGTTTGCTGGTGCTATTTGCAACTGACTCTTGACACCTTTGTCAAAGCGCATAAGCTGGCCTATGTTGCAGTGGTGTCATGCATTCCTTATTTTTTTATGTTTTAACCGTTGTCTCATTTCTCCTGTTGTCACCGCCCACTTGCGTGATTACTTCCATACTGTGCTACTTGTCCAACGGTCCAGGAGTATGTCAACAGTTACAACAGGAGAAGGTGGTCAGCATTCAATCAATCTGCCAAGTGCAGACTCCACAATAAAAGTTGGCTTCACCCGATCTCCAACACCCTATCTTGTCTTGGTTGTACTCTCTCTTACAGTGCTTTTCATTCACCTCCTAATATTCTTATTCCACTTATATTTTTGGCTACCTCTTGCTCTCTTTTATCTTTGACTTGTCCCTCAAATATGATTTTTAAAAAAAATTGAATTGCCTTTTAATGTGACCAAAATATTTTATTTGTTCTATTTTGTCAAAATCAATCAATTAGGTACCGTCTCCACAGTGAAGGTTGGCTGCAATAAATCTCCCACCTCTCGCCTTCAACCTTTCTTTGTATGGTTTTCAAAAGTGTGTGATGTCTTTTAATGTGGCCAAAGTATTTCAATTAACTTTTTTATTTCTGTCAGTAATTCTCTTTTTATTTGTAGCCTTTTCAGAATATCCCTATTGGACTGTTAATGTTTCCTATTCTTCTGTATAACGACATCTCCAGAGACTCAATTTGATTTTTAGTTGCTTGTTTATTGTCCAAAACTCTTTTAATCTCCAGCCTATTCAGTACTTGTATATTTGATCGTTTATGTCCCCATGAAATATGTCTTATTCTTCTGTATATCCACATATTCATAAACACAAAAGCATGGGCAAATACTCAACAAGTTAAAAAAAATATATATAACATATGACTAGAAAGTTCACTTAAAGGAAAAGATTACACTCAATTGTTAATGCTAGCTTACTTTGCACATTTTTATTTAAAATCTATATAATTTCAACATTACATGGAAAGACATACCAAGCGTATGTGCCAAAAAATTGTTGACGGCTCCCATTAACCAGACCCAGTTGGGAATGGGAGGATGTTCTGGGTGATCTCGGCATGCTGCATAAAAATGAGGGTCATAATAGGTCATCACTACGAAGTTCAGCAGCAGGAAGAGGAACCCAGACAAGGTCAGGATGTTCGGGGCCAGCCATATTGGCACAAGCTGCAAAATATTCAATTAGATGCAAAAACATGAGAACAATAAGAGGAAAAATAGTAAGGATCATCAATGAAATATGAGGTGAGGTAGCTTATTGCCTTCATCACTACCATTACTCTCGCACAGAAATTTATCAAAATCGATACATATTTTCATGTCAACCCCTGAAGCAAATAATTACTTTGGTGATGTAAAAAAAAACAACAAAACCCCGCTCCCACAACTCCTATATTTCAGATACTTAGAACCCATAGAAAACAACTAATTTAAGTAAGTCAGATGAAATAAACTGCACAGAATCAATTTGTCATCTAAAACATAAACAAATACTCCAGAGTTAGAAATCAATTGGTACTCAGCAGATGATGTGGTCAACATCACGCAGACAGCCTTTACTTCCCAGGACCGCACCTGGTAACCAGGCTGGGTTGAGCCAGGAGCCAAGCTTATTTTTTTTATAAAGTCAGGCTCCGCCAGGACCAAAACCTACGACCTTCTGATCCTCAGGTGCCCACCTAGCCGCTACACCACAGCGGCGCACCTGTATATGAGAAGCAGGATAATAAACTCTACTGCCAAATAGCAAATACACTAGCTACTATGCTACAGTGACTCGTAACAGTAGAACATAAAAACATTTGAGTGGATGTCTGTGGTTAGGGCTCTATCTAAAACATCACATAAGCTTAGGTAAGTACTTGTATGTGCATTTATGGCAACAATCTTTTCCTTTGTGCAAGGGTTGGCATTGTGGCTTAAAGCTAGGCTGTGACATATGCACCTTTTGTGGTTTAAAAACTATGACTACTTTGCATACAGGCAAGCCTGCTAGCTATTGTGTCACTGTGGCTCCCAGGTCTATAAAAAGATGGATATTTTATATTCAGAATTATTATTTTGCTCAACATGAGTTTTTCTTTTAATATGAAAGAAAGCAATTACCAAATACAAATGGAGCACAAACAAAACCATTTCCCTTCCCTTTGACCAAGAAAACATGTTTTTTTTAAACACACTCACAGAGGCAAAGTGACCCATCAAAAGTTTAATATGACACCATAACGACTATGGAAGGGTGATCTGACCATGTCAGCCTTATGCATCAAATATTTAAATTAGTGGATGCATAAAAAAAAAAAAAAAACGCCCACAAAGAAACATTTACAAAACTGGAAAGTGACAATAATTTATCGTCATGTTGTAGGTCTTGTCCAGAAGGTCACCTGCATTACAGCATGATGAAAAACCATATGGCAAGCTAACTTTCTGGCCTCATGAACTTTCTTGTCAAGGCTGTCATAATCATGCTAGACAACCCCTGCCTCTTTGTCCAGGAACCATATCCTTAACTTCTGATCTCTTAAAGCATTATAACTTTTAAAATTTGCTGAAGTATTTCAACTTCCAAGAAACAAAACTAAAGTAATAATAAGTAAAAGTAAAGGTCCCTTTTGCATGCCTTTAGGCATATAGGGCTGGATCTATATTTTTTATAGAACAATCGGCACAAGATGGGGGATGTGGTCAGCATCATGCCGGCCACCTTTACTTCCCAGGATTGCACCCAGCACCCTCTCAAGGCTGTGTTGACCTGGGAGTCAAGGTCATTTTTGAAGAAAAAAAAAGTCCGGCTCAGCCAGGGAGCGAACCCACGACCTTCCGATCTGAAGTAATATTAGTTGTTTAAAAAAATTATTTATGCATATATTACATAAAACTCTATACCAGGGCTACCCTTATGCTCAGAGGCCACAAAGTACCGAAAATACTGCTCACAGGCTTTAATGCGATGAATGAAACTGGATGAATTTTTCATTATTTCCTTTATGCATACGAGAAGTTTAGTTAATTTTATCCCACAAATCACTTGACTCAGAAAGTTTGCTCGTGTACCTTTTTTTTTAAAATGTAAGCGTACGCTGAGAATTGCACTAAAGCCTTGCCAATAGCATTATCTTCTGAATACACCTGCATCCAGAACTCTTCTTGGCTTTCTTCTCGATATTTCTGTTTTAAATTGCAGTCTTCGCAGAATTTGAAAAAAATTATTGATTATAGCCGCAGCACCCAGTTTGAGAACCCCTGCTTTACTGTGTGGATTAGGCCCACGTGGGTGGCAGCTGAACAGCCCTGCTGTGTAGTAACGCACCCGGCATGATACAGCAAAATAAGCCAGGTAATACATTTTACAATGTGACGCTTGTTTCCGCATTATTTAAATATAATGTATGCATCAATGGCTACAAGCAGTCAGCAAAATGAAAAACTCACGTTGACACATCTGTTCCAGAAAGGGTGACAAATGTACTTGCTAACCGGGCTTGTGTCCACGGCACTATACTGTCAACAATTTATGATAAAAATATCTTTTATTAAATAATTCAACATCCAGAAAGATGTTACGATGTAGAATTTCTTACAACATGCAAAATTTTATCATATATCCAGTATTGTGGTAAAGTCTTTTTCACAAAAGAGGAGTGGCTGGTCGAACGGTTGGAAAGCTGGGCTCTTAAGCAGAAGACCCGGGTTGGAATCTTCGGTAAGGCTGGGAACTGTTTCTGTCGGAAACAAAATAAAATCCTCACTTGCAGTCGTGGCGACAGCACTAGCCATGTGGCAATAAATCCTCAGGCTCAGATCCCCCTGCCTACACACAAAAGTGGTATAATAGAGGCAGTTATTGGCAGTTTTATTTTTTTGGGCAGTTTTCACAAGCCAGTAAGGAATCTTAAGTGACCTGTCAGGTCCATATTTCTGAAGATTATTGACATGAGTTAAATGGTTCTTCTTCTTCTTCATGTTCACCAGCTGTAAACTCATGCAGAAAATTATGGTTATTCGTCCACCTCAGGACTTTAGTCTTGCTCCAGAGCCTCAGTGTTGCGTGCACATCCGTTTTACATGTCTGACTTATCTGTATGTATGTTGTGAAGTGATGTGAAGGTGTATCGCCTCCTGACTATGTGTCTAAAGATGAATGAATATGCCTCATTCACATATGCAAAAGTTCCCCAAGCCGACCTTCTGGCGGTTCCTTGCCTGAGAGTACTAAATTAATCAGTACATATAGTCACATCGTACCACTAACACTGATAAGTCAGCAGCCAACCACATCAACAATACGGGAAGAATCATCTCTATAATCGTGCATCAGTCAATTTTTTGGGACAAAACACAGTATGAAGATGAAAATGAACTGGTGATACAGGACTACTGTCTATCTAATGCTCCACCTATACACACTGATATGCTACCAAGGCGGTGTCGCATGAAAAGGGAACATCTAGCCTCGACGTGAGTCCACAACATATGAATTCGGCCTACTGACCCACTCTTGTGGTCACCAGTAGCTTTAATGGATGCTTCGGTTATGTGCCCACACTTTGGGTCACCAATAACCTATACATAATAACTGACTAGAGACTGCCCCAGACACACCAAGTCTCCCAACACAGTCAAATCAGAATCCTGATGAGGGACAACACTGATCACGTTCTTGCAGTTCAGCAACAACTCATCACTCGACTTCTGTCAATAAAACTGGCAAACAATATGCTGGGCTCCCAACGCCTTGTCTCTACAAAATACACTCAATGGGAGCATTTCGACTCATACACCAAATTGTAATGAACAAGTTAAACTTTCACTGGACTAAAATTATACACATAATTACTGCTAAAAATGCAGACATCTGGACATGCGTCCGCCCGATCTGAACAAGCATGGTTTCCCTCCTGCTCAGCATCCGGCCCCCGCATGGTTCTCGCTAAGCGCCTGCAAACCGCTGTTAGTCATGAAACTCCAAAAACCCTCATTCACAACTTCGTGGATAGCATAGACCTTTTGCACTCGTCTCTCACAACATGGACCCTTTACCCACATCTCTGTTACCATCATCATTCAGTGCCTTGCCTTTACGACTGGTGAAGACAACCACGCCTCTGCTTCTATTGACCAGCAATTGAAATCAGCATGCAATGATGTAGACTGTTGGTTCCTTGCTTCTCAGGCTTCGAAGGATGCTGCGAGTTAGTTGACACAACATGCTTGTTGGGGAGACAGTGGGTCTGTTCTTGGTTTTTCCCCACAATAGGGCCCCAGAAGCCACATGGGGAATAAAATGGTTCTGAATCTTTTCAGTGTTTGTGTGCACTGATGTAATCAGTTGTTTGTGAAGTTATATTAGTTGTCTGAAATGTTTTTTTCACTGCAAAAAGACAAGTCAGACTGCTGAAGACAAGAGAAGTCTACTCAGTCACAGTAAAATAAATTCAATGGCTGTTACAATTTCATGTAAATTCTAGCCTTCTTTAGATAAGCATATATCATACTCATAATTTTTGAGCAGATGAGGAGGGAGGTGGCCTTGTTTAAGTGTGAAGTAATAATAATGTGCTGCTAAATGGCAAATTGATGTCAAACATAATCAAAATAACATGAAACAAAAAGAAAAGATTGTCTAGACATGGTGGCGGGGAGGGGGGGGGGCTCCTGGTGATTGCAATTAGTACCCTTGCAAATGTTTAAGGCTAAGCCCTTCCCCTTAAAAACTACTGTGTGGGGGGGGGGGGGGGGGGGGTGGGGGGGCTTTTATAAAGCTGCCTGAATCCACAGGTTCCAGATGACAGACTATAACTCGGCACCAGGAAACTTGCTATGCATGTTTCACACCCCATTTGCATGGTTTTTCATTTTGTGTCCATTCAGCCATAGCATTAACCCATCCTGTGCCAATAAATACTTCATATCCTTTTGTCCAACATTTTTACTTCAACCATACGATTTAAATGGGTATGGATATACATGTCTTTTCCAATCCCTTGCAACATTTAATATAGAGGAAGCACTTCAGTTTCACAGACAACACGCTGTCCAAGTCAGTTTCTTCAATGTTAAGTTCTATTAGAATGTAAGTATTCCCACCACAACCACATACCCCCACCCCCCTTTGTATTCTTAAAAAAATTCTGTACCATTTCAATTGAAAAGCCCTGATTTTCTTTCTTAGTGATTGTCAGACAGTGCAAGACTCACACAGCAGTCAAGCAAGGCAATACAATACATTTTTAGCACAGAAAGAGTGAAAGAAACCCACGGTGATGATGAAGACTAAAAGAGATAAGGGTACCCTAAGAGAACACAGTACAAGTACAGTGGGTACCCAAAAAAAATCAGTCAATAATATACTATACAAGAAAAGCAGAGCTGGTGTACCGGCCTCAACTTGCTCTCTCTGCACTGACCTATTTCATGTTGTGTCAGGATTCACCATTCGGCCACGCCCTCTTTTTTTAGATGACACAATTATGATAATAAATGGTTCAGTATGACACAGCAAGATTATCTGTGTAAATAGATGCTCATTGTTAATTTATCCACCAAGAAATTTACGTATAATTTCATTAAAATAAACGTGTACGGCGACATTTCCTGAATTTATCCAGAAACATGGTCGAGCCCTCCCAACGCTCTCAGTTGGCGGTAACAACACACGTGCCCTCAGTTTTAGTCTGTAGTAGTTGTTGACCTATGTGTTGTCTCAAACAAATTTGTCGAATAGGATCGATAACATAAACAACTCGCTATATAAGTCTTTTAGTTGTGTAAATATACAATTTTACAAGACAATTATCTGTGTGTAGCAAAGAGATATGTTGTCAGAAATTCCCAGTTTTTAAGTTTTGTCATTCTGCAGTTTGTTACACATTTGTGTCGGCTGTTTTCGAGATATCTGAGATACATCCAAATCTTTCGTCACGTTGCTGAATACTGAATAATTAATGGTGAATTTATGACAGTCTCTAGTTGTGGGACGTACCTTGTAATTGTCAAATCCCGACAGTACTTCTTTAGATAGGTAAACAAAGGCAGCCATACCTCATTGTCGACTACTTATCTTCAATTGTGGTGTTGTTTGATCGCTGCTGTGTGTGTGTGCTCGCTAGCAGGAAAATTAACATGGAAGAGTAAGACCTTTGTACCGGAAGTAATCCCTGAGGAGGAGTCGTAGAGTTGTCAATATCATCATGTGCCATGAAGCAGGCGATATGATAGCATTAGCAGGGGAACTATGACTTCAGGTTTCTCGAGGCGCCCCTCCCCTCCACCACACCATTCATATTAGAAGAGGGGCTTAGCCCTCCACCCTCCCCATTCTCATTTATTTTGTAAGGATACTAAGAGACCCCCCCCCCCTTAACCATGCATTTAAATGTTCTGTACACGTATGTGTTTATACTATTCATACTATGTCAAGAAAAGATCCCTTTTAGCCTGGCTCGCTAGCGTAGCTGGTTAAACCTGACTTCGCGGCGACCGGGTGACGAACTTGTGGTCCGGGTTCACGCCCGGGGGTAGACAGAAAAGCCGTATTTCTCCCAGATTTACGGTATCTTTCATGGAATCAAGACCGGAGGCTTGCGATATCCATAGTAGCGAGTCAAAGGGATAAAAACTAATGGTTTCTGGATATTTTAAAAAATAAAAAAAGGTCCTTTCTTCATGGCTGTAGGCGTATTGGGAATATAGGGCTAAACATATATTTCTAATGACCAATCGACACTTGATGGGGGATGTGGTCACCATTACGCCGACCGCCTTTACTTCACAGGACTGCACCTGGTACCCACTCAAGGCTGGGTCGACCTGGGAGTCAAGGTTATTTATAAAAAAAAAAGTATGGCTCCGCCAGGACGCGAACCCACGACCTTACGATCTGATATTATGTCAAGTATATTGTAATATTTGTTAACTATTCAGCAAATTATTGGTAATAGTATGTTGAAATGTCAAATCAGTACTATTGTATGGGGCGGAAACATGGGGAACAACCAAGGCAATTACTAATAAGTTACAGATATTCATTAACTGGTGCCTGCGCAAAATAGAGGGAATAAAATTAGTTAGTTAGTTAGTTAGTTGGGTTATCCTCATTGCACTCCGGACATGTCCATAGGTGCTCAGATCCTCCCCTCAGTATGAACCCCAACGTCCGATGGCTAATAGTACCAGTTCTATGTTGATTAACAAGTCTTCTGGCGTAGCTGGTGTGCGTCTCGTTTTTTGCTGTGCCGATCTTAATTCCCAAGTCTGCCATTCTGGCGAGTGATGTGGATTCACTGCCACCAAAGTCATCTATCCTTCCCATTTCTCAGCATGATCCATAGGCTGACCGTCGGTAGTGATAGCGGATCCAGCCAACCTGTCAGCTCTTTCATTTCCATCGACGCCTGCGTGTCCCGGAACAAAAATAAAGGTGACTCCACGGACAGTGGACTTCTGTAATGATTCAAGCCATTGTCTTCGCACTGAACCTGCCTGAACCCTCCGGATCATACTCATTGAATCACTGAGTATACACACGCGGGTGTATTTTTGTGTTTCAAGCCAGGCAAGCGCTTGTGTCACTGCCATCACCTCCATCGTCATGCTGCTGGTTGTCATGAAGAAGGCGCCGTTGGCTTCTTTGGACTGTTCTGCCCGCTGAGCGTGCTGTAAATGCCCATGCGCTTCTTCTTTGGCGTATAACGGATCAGTCTGTATAGATTATTGCATCTGCTTCGTCTGAATTTTCACCGATGAGAGCGTTGACCTCTGCATTAACAGCAACAGGATTCTCTTCTCTACATCGCCTGTTGAGTGTGACAATACAGGAAAATGTACAAATAAAAGCCTGAGGCACAGGTATCCATTCTGCACCAGGTATGATGTCGGTTAGGCTGCATATTTGCCTAATAACATCTTCTGCCCGACCTAGCCACGATTTCCCCCTCTTCAGTCTGTCTCCCTTTTCACTAAAAAGCGCTTGATGCAGTGGGTGTTTCTTATCAGCACATATTTTGAGATATGCCCGAACCCTCCACATCCTGATCCTTTGGTTCATTGTTGGAAAGTCAAGTAGATACCTCATTGCTCCACAGGATGTGTCTCTAGTACATCCCAAAATAATGCGCATGGCTTCATTTTGCACCTTTTGGAGTCGTTCAATCTGGGTAGCACTGACAGTGAGGATGGCCAGAGCGTATTCAATGGGGGAAAGGACCAGACCGTAGAATAGAAGTATTAGTAGTCTTTGCTCAATGTTGGAAGCAGCCATAATCCTCATTGCAGATAGACCTTTGCGTGCTTTTGTTATCACATGGTCAACGTGTTCCCTGAATGACAAGCTGCGATCGAACCTCACCCCGAGAAACGTCATAACGTTGGTTCTGATCAATACATTATCACGCATTTTCACTTCTGGTAAGTCCGACTTGACAATGTGATTGTTCAAAGAGAACCATGACACTGATGCCTTCGAAGGATTGACATAGGCATTGGAACCATCACACCAGGCGGCAATTCGATCGAGTTCTTTGTGCATAGTGCTGGCGATCTCCTGTCTATCACGCCCTCGTCGATAAATAGAGGGAATAAAATGGTATGATAGAATAACTAATGTAGAACTTTGGGAGAGAACTAAACAGGCTCCAGTGGATCAGGAAGTGAGGAAAAGACGCTGGCGTTGGATAGGGCAAACACTGAGAAAACAGGAGAACAGCATTACTAGAATGTCTTTGCATTGGAACCCACAGGGGCATAGGAATAAAGGAAGCCAACAAAAAAAAAAAAAAAAACACACACGGAGAAGAGAGCTGGAGAATGAGGTTAGAAAGACTGGGAGGGCATGGGGAGAGCTCCATGCAATGGCGAATGATAGAATGACTTGGCGTGAGTTGGTTGAGGGCCTATGCTCCATTGGGGGATAGAAAGGCAGAAGAAGAAGAAGTATGTTGAAAGCCAGATAAATATAAGCCTACATTTGAAAAAATATGAGTCGGCGTCTGTGGCTTAGGCGGCGTGAACGCGCTTCGTAATACCGGTGTGCCTGTTTCGATCCCAGCTGCGGACGAGTTGTCTTTCGTAGGTTTTGACAGTCGTACTGGGAGCTGACTGTTTAGAGGCAATGGCGGAATACTAAACGCAAGATTCACCCAGAAAAACAACAACAGTCCGAAGATGCTGGGGTTGGTTGTGCAACGTCCTGTAAAGGTTCCGCGACTTACTTTTTTTGTTCCAACAACGGACATTCTTTCATTTTGTACACAGCCTACACTAGTACTATGGTGTACTACTTAGATTAAGTCTATGTTTAGACGACGGATCAATATCACGAAACAAGGCATAACCCATAAATGCTCCTTTTTACCTCTAACTCAAGTCTGTCTGCAGAATCTCAGCGCAGTGCACGAGCTCCGTACCACCGGTGAAGATCTTAAAACTTGTTGAGTAGATTTTCAACTCCAAATTTTGCCCGGGCAGCGCCGTTAGGCTACTTTTTTTTTCGATTTCCAACTGCCAATAGATTTTTTTTTACGTGCGCAACAATACACACGGGCGTCCGATCTTATTACCCACAGACCAGGGGGGAATTACTAGAAGTCCACGTGAAAAAATCTCAGCCTTTACCAGGGCCTGAACCCGGGACCTCCAGCACTCAAGGTGGACGCCATGTCTCGACTAAGACAAAGTCTGTGAATGCTTGTTACATTTGCTATGTCCTGTCCGGAGGCGTAGAATGATGACCTGCCCATGCCGGTCAAGTAATTGTTAGTCATCTCTGGTGAGATTCTATTCATCTCTGAGAGACTAGTGGTCTATTTTTTATCCTTCAAATATATTCCTGCATAGTCTTCCTGTTCACATTCTGTCCGTTTCTTAGAAGTTTATCGGCGGTTTCATTTGGACAAGAGAAGCGAAACACATTTGAAACACACTCAAAATAACACAACCAGGATCTTATGTTTAGTGACATATTCGTGTTAAATATATTTATTTTGAAATTATAATTATCTTAAATAAGTAAAATAGTCATCTAAAAGTTGTGAGTAGTTAGGCAACACTCTTCTGATATCATTATCATTTACAAAGTGTTATAGCATTTAGTTTATTTTATATTTATTTCTGATATTCCTTCTGATACGCTTATTGCTCGACAGTATTACTGATTTAACACTATGGTCATTTGCTAAAGAACATCCACCCTGTTTATTCTCAAAAGGAGCCACGTGGAATAAATGCACTAGGCAATAGATCAAAAATATCTGATAGAGTTGGTCCCGTAAAATAAGTGTCATTTTTTTACGGTCTGTAGAATGTTGCTGCAGGGTTGACCTCAGGGTTTGGCCATGCGGGCTTCAGCTGATGGGCCGTGCTGCTGACGTCACCGGGTGCGTTAACGTGGCGAGGAAAGACAACTTAAATTTTAACTTTCAAGTATCTCTATGCCTTCTTTAATAATTTCAAAATTTTTAGCCGACTTTTCTTGTTTATTGCCGCGGCATCCCTAGCATACGCTCACGGCATCACAGGGTCCCTCGGCACCCAGTCTGAGAACCGCTGCTTTAACGAATAGTTAGCCCGACCCGGTGACGTCTGCAGCACGGCCCGTCAGCTAGAACCAGTCGTCATCTGACCCGCACTTAACACTCAAGGGAAGGGCAGGGCGAGACGGAGATATAATCATACTGCTACTGGTAACATCGGAAATGACAGCTGAAGATGGGGATTAAGCGCTTATGGGAATATTCTGAGTGTTGTGATGCTGGTTCTCAACAGCTCAGCTCAACACAGCCTTTTATTATGCCGCCCAATATGGCAGGCCTCCGATCGCAGCTAGTCTCAATCTCATTTAGTCCATTTCAATTGTTACCAAATCGTCCATGTGTGGGTTCCGAGGCTGCCATTGGGGAGGGGAGGGAAGAGGGGACGGGGTAATAGACTCACCACCCTTCCATCTACCAAGCATGTCGTAAATGTCTACTAATTAGGAGTGTTTCATTCGAAGTCAGAGTGGATCTGTCTGAGAGGCAAGGAACCAACAGTCTGCATACAAAT